GAGCATGCATAAACTGACACACTAAATGCACAACATAGGTAATATCAGGTCGTATCAAAGTTAAATATTGTAACGCACCAACCATACTTCGATATTCAGTTGCATCGGCAAGAAGTTCCCCGTCAGAGAGGGATAGAGAAGTGCGAGTAGCAAGCGGAGTACGAACAGATTTAATAGTGTGGAGATGGAAACGAGAGAGAAGATCAGACACATATTTATGCTGAGAAAGAAATAAACCTTTAGCGGAATGCACAGCCTGGACTCCTAAAAAATAATGAAGATCACCCAAATCTTTCATAGCAAAACGCTTAGCAACAATCTGAATAAAGGAGTTAATAGCAGCGGATGAATTACCAGTAATATTTATGCCATCTACATATAATAATAAATAAATGACATTATTATTATGGCGATAAGTAAATAATGAATTATCAGACTTGATGCAAGTAAAATAATGAGACAATAGAAAGCCACTAAACCGGTGAAACCATGCCCGTGAGGCTTGCTTAAGACCATAAATGGCTTTTCGCAATCTACATAAATGATTAGGAAACAAAGGATGAATAAAACCCCGCGGTTGACGCATATAAACTTCCTCGGTGAGGTGACCATGCAAAAATGCATTCTTGACATCTAATTGATGAATAACCCACCCAAAAGAAGTGGCTAATGTAAGGACAATACGAACAGTGGTGGGTTTAATGACTGGACTAAAAATTTCAGAAAAATCTACACCTGCCTGTTGATTAAAACCTTGAGCAACCAGACGAGCTTTATGGCGCTCAATGGAACCATCAGAATGATATTTAGTCTTATAAATCCACTTAGAGCCCACGACATTTTTAGTATTATCAAATGGCACTAAATCTCAAGTATTATTAGAAATAAGAGCATTCCTCAGCCATCGCCTCACACCATTTTAACTGTTTATAAGCCTCTGAAAAACAAGTAGGATCAGCTGATAAAACAACCGTGTTTAATTTAAAAATAGTTTTGGGTTTAAAAATTCCCGACTTCGCCCTGGTTTGCATGGGATGATTGTTGGTTAAATTAAAAATATTTTTGAGAGAGATAAAACAACTATTTAAACTTACTTTACAAGATTTCTATCTATTATAGACTTTTTCTTTACTTCAAGTATTTTTTACTTTTTAATTTAAATTTTAGTTTTTATCGTTTATTGTTTTCGAATGATTATCATTTTTTTTTTGAATTTTAATGAATTTTAACATTTTCCATACAAAAACAAAGTTTTGAGTAATTGGTACACTTGAGGATCTAAAACCTTAGTAAGATTCAAAACGTGTGTGCATTTGATTTGATAACAGTAGTGTTTCCGGTAGATGCAGCCATGCGGGTGAATAGTAGTCCATTTTTTAGAGAGAGAAAAAACGTAGCAAGACTATTTTTAAAAACAGAGTTAAAAGGTGAAAAAAGTGATACGGAGTATTATTTTCACTATTAGGTTGCTTGTGAAAAAATCCCTTTAGAAAATGTTGAGCCCATATTTGATGGATAAATTGGGATTTCCATATTTAGAACTATATATCCAATTAAAAAAGAAATAATGTGTCTAGGCGCATTCAAAGAGAAACTCATATTTGTAGTGATTAATAAAATGCATAAAGATTGTTCTCAGTACTACCTTCCATGAAAGTTAGGTGGCCTAGTGGTGCAATGTATTACATCTGGTAAGAAATTCTAAAACCCATAGAATCCCTAGCGACAATGAATTTGTTATACAAGCTACATCAATACTCTTTATTGTTCATAGAACAATTAAAATAATTTACTAACAACCTTAATCTTAATGTCTTGGATGAGTTTATTGTGAGAATTTGGGAAAAAGGTACTCCAATAGGAGTCCTGGACTGTATATTTATAATATGAGAGTTTAAAACAAAATAGGAAACAAGTATCCTAATACAACGCGCAGGTTGTCCTTCAAAAAATGAAATTGCTGACTAGAAAGACTTTAAGTAAAAATATCAGCTAACTAGAGATGTGTAGGAATGTATTGCACGACCAAATCTCCATGAGCCGCACATTCTCTGACAAAATGGTAATCAATCTGGATGTGCTTGCTACGAGCATGCTGAACAGGATTAGCAGTCAAATAGTAAGCAGAGATGTTATCACAAAATAGCTTAATTGTGACTGTAACCGGATAACCAAGCTAAAAAAGGACCGAACATATATGCAATGTATCTTGTACAGTATATGAAACAGCTCGATATTCTGCTTCTGTAGAGGACTTGGAGACAGTATGTTGCTTTTTGGACTTCCATGAGACAAGATTGGGACCCAAAAACACTGCAAAACCAGTTGTGGAACGAGACGTATTTGGACAGTCTGCCCAGTCTGCATCCGAATACGCAACCACACAGGTGGCCTGAGTATTTGGCTGAAGCCACAAGCCATGATCAATTGTCCCCTGCAAGTATCTAAAAATACGCTTGACTGCAAACAAATGAGTAGTACAAGGAGCATGCATAAACTGAGACACTAAATGCACAGCATAGGTAATATCAGGTCGTGTCAAAGTTAAATATTGTAACGCACCAACCATACTTCGATATTCAGTTGCATCGGCAAGAAGTTCCCCTTCAGTGAGGGATAGAGAAGTGCGAGTAGCAAGCGGAGTACGAACAGATTTAATAGTGTGGAGATGGAACCGAGAGAAAAGATCAGACACATATTTATGCTGAGAAAGAAATAAATCTTTAGCGGAACGCACAGCCTAGACTCCTAAAAATTAATGAAGATCGCTCAAATCTTTCATAGCAAAACGCTTAGCAACAATCTGAATAAAGGAGTTAATAGCAGCGGATGAATTACCAGTAATAATTATGTCATCTACATATAATAATAAATAAATGACATGATTATTATGGCGATAAATAAATAATGAATTATCAGACTTGATGCAAGTAAAATAATGAGACAATAGAAAGCCACTAAATCGGTGAAACAATGCCCGTGAGGCTTGCTTAAGACCATAAATGGCTTTTCGCAATCTACATAAATGATTAGGAAAGAAAGGATGAATAAAACCCCGCGGTTGACGCATATAAACTTCCTCGGTGAGGTGACCATGCAAAAATGCATTCTTGACATCTAATTGATGAATAACCCACCCAAAAGAAGTGGCTAATGTAAGGACAATACGAACAGTGGTGGGTTTAAGGACTGGACTAAAAGTTTCAGAAAAATCTACACCTGCCTGTTGATTAAAACCTTGAGCAACCAGACGAGCTTTATGGCGCTCAATGGAACCATCATAATGATATTTAGTCTTATAAATCCACTTAGAGCCCACGACATTTTTAGTATTATCAAATGGCACTAAATCTTAAGTATTATTAGAAATAAGAGCATTCCTCAGCCATCGCCTCACACCATTTTAACTGTTTATAAGCCTCTGAAAAACAAGTAGGATCAGCTGATAAAACAACCGTGTTTAAATTAAAAATAGTTTTGGGTTTAAAAATACCCGACTTCGCCCTGGTTTGCATGGGATGATTGTTGGTTAAAGGGGCTGGACTCACATGCACCAGAGGTAAACTCGCCGTTTGTGGCTCTGGCGAAGGGGATAATTCGAGGGGTTCAGGGGAACTTGTCATGGTTGGGGGGTGATGGGAGAGGGAAGTACTGGAGTGGGTAATGGGATGCGTGCCGTTGAATGAGGTATAGGAGAATGTTGGTGGACTGACGGTATGGAAGAGGAGACAACCGGGTGGGCGGTGGCTGGTTTACCGTGGTAGAATTTTGTAGGAGGGTGTTGGCAGTGGGACTTTGGGAAGATGAAGTGGTGTTGGTTAGAATAAAATCAGCACCAAGAGGAGTGGATGAAGTGGAAGTATGACCCGTAGAAGATGACAATGTGGCATATGGAAAAATATTTTCATGAAAACGAGCATGTCTACTAATAAAAAGTTTACCAGACTTGGGTTCCAAGCAACGATAACCTTTATAACCGCAGGATTGAGAGGCGGCGGAAAAAAAATTGAGGTGAGAGAAGCGGCCGAAAAATTAAACCTAAGCTCTGATACCATGTCAGAATTTGGGAAAAGATACTCCAATATGAGTCCTGGACTGTATATTGATAATATGAGAGTTTAAAACAAACTAGGAAACAAGTATCCTAATAATATTCTATTATTTATTTGGGGTTCATAGAATCATTAAAATAATCCTCATCTTCTACCAGAGTCGGTTAGTTATTTGTAGAGTGTAGGATGTGTTTGAAGAGCAAAGTACACAAAGTTTGAATTATGCAATGTGAGGTTGTCTCTACAAATATGTATGAATGAATCGTCACTTTTAAAACCTTAAGGTTACACTTGCTCTCATTAGAAGAATATGAAAATGCTAACGTGCACTTTCAATAATGCACATTTTATATACTCCCTTCGTTTCAAAAAGATTGATACATTTTGACTTTTCTTGATCAATGATTGTTAAGTTTGATCAATGATATCTTTTAATACAAAATTATTTAAAATATGAAAATTATTTGAACATATTCTTTATTAAAAAATCTTACATAAAAGTATAAAAATTTATAAATTACAAACAAATATAATACCTAAAATCATTGTCTAAACTTTACCACTATTGACCAAGAAAAGTCAAAATGTATCAATCTTTTTTAGACGGAGGTAGTATAATTTTTGCATTGATATATGTATTTCTGAATGATTTAATAACTTTTAAATGTACATAATTGAATAAATATAGGTGCACCATACTCAAAAGTATGACAATTAATTTAAAATATTCAATAGATGCACTTATGTTCAAATTTAGTGCGACATTAGTTCCATTAATCGTTCACATATTCTATTTTCAAAATGAAAAACGTGTCATAGTTCAAAGCATTTTTTCAATTTTTTTACTCCAGGGGGCGTCTACGGGAGGGGGCCTGGGGGCCTGGAATAAATGATACGTGTCATAGTTAATTTGTCATTATATATTCCTTTTTTAGACAGATAGAGTATTTAGGAGTCACTGTTTAACAAGAGAAGTGTATGAGGCAGGAACAAATGATATTGCTCTTTCAGGTGTGAAGAGAATTAACGGTAAGTTATTGTTATTATTTTTGTTATTACTATTATTATTACTATAAATATTTTTATTGTTATCATTATCTCATTCAATGTCTTTCATGAACATGTGTTTTTTTCTATTAGTGATCTAATGTGAATTTTCTGCTCATTAAAATCATTTCTTTTTACCAGCATGAGGACAGAGCATCTGTGTTAAAGTTCTCTGCAATGGAAATCTACAATGAAGTGTATAGAGACCTCCTCAGCCCAGATACTTCTCCTCTAAGACTGCTTGATGATCCAGAGGTAAGTTTGTATTTCTAAGTAGTTTTTACTATGTCTTCATACCTTTCTTAATAATTTGCTTCTCCAGAAAGGGACTATAATTGAGAAACTCACTGAAGAAACTCTGAGGGTTGGGATCATCTCAAGGAACTGTAATCCAAATGTGGAGGTTCACAGGATGTTTCAATTTTACCTTTCTGCAGTCTTGTGATATAGCACTGGAAATTCCATATTCATATTTTAGGTATTGTTATCATCTTTGGCAAATCGAAGATAAATTGGAGAGACTTACTTGAATGAAGCAAGTTCTAGATCACATCAAATCCTTAGACTTGTATGTGACTTTTATTCTTTTGTGGTCGGTTTCATTTAATCTTACTCGACTAAGTTGTTACTCTTCTGCCTGGGGATTTTCTCCACCAATTGAAGCTTTGCATTTTTAGTATGCTGAAGAGTTTTTTGGTAGAGAATGATTATACACACATCATTGTCTGCACTTTGAAAAGGATCTGGTGAGGGTTATGCTTAGGCATGAAGTATGTGAGCTTAATTAGACACCACTGTTGTCATTTGATTGTTTGAATAATTTAGGTTTGAATTTGATATTTTAGGTATTTTAGTTTCAGATTCTTAATACTTGTCATGTTGTATTTTGTTTTGATCTCTACTAATTTTGACTTCACTTTTGATTCAGTTTTTATTCAAATTCAGAAAAAATGGACATCGAAAGGTTATATAATAGGTACTTCAGAGGAAGGAGTTGGGCTGAGGAAGAAGGGAGTGGAGCTCCTTTTCCAGGAACTCATGAAGTGTGTACCTGTTTTTATGTTTTTAGTGTATATATTGTTTGCTTTTTTTGGGTTTGCTTAAAGGGTTTTTGGGAAATTGGAAAATCATTTTTATTTTCTATGATCTTAAAGAGTCAAATTATTTGGAGTATCTCTGTAGAGAAGCTCAAAAGGTTGACTGGTGTTAGCAGAGTATTTTTTGTTTTCCGCTATGCATTTTGGTTGCAAAACGCAAGAAAGGATTTCAGCACTCATTTGTTCATATTTGGGTGGGCCTGATAAGCATTATATACGGGTATGTACTTCTTTCAAAATTAGCCCACAACCAAATGAAAAATAGAACAATCTCTCCCAGACTTAGCTCTATGTTTTTATCGGGAAAAAATGTGGAATGCCTTGAATTCTGCATTGAAAAAACTGGTTAATTCATTTCTAATTTGTTTGCTTTTAGCACAACAGTTCGGTTTCGTTGCTTTTAATCCCTTTATTTCTTCACTATTGCATTCTCTTTCTCTGTGTAATTTAGTTTTCTTGAAGAATTCACTATTGCATTCTCTTTCTATGTAAATTCTCAGGTTTGAAGCATTGTTATTGATGCACGAGTGAAATTAAGTTGGGGGGTTTTGGCATCTGCTTTTCTGTTTGGTTCGAGCAACTGAACTTGCATGAGAAGCACTTTTGTTGGTAACCTATATATTAATGTAATCTTTTGTTCTTTTGGTATCTACTTATGTTTGGGTGTCTTGAAATTACATATACTTATTGATGTTGATCAAGCTATGCCTAACTGAGTGATACTAAATTAGTAATTTGATGTGATTTCACAATGACAGGATATTAGATCATACAGAGTTACTCCTTATTCACTCTCAAAAAAAAAGTGTTACTCCTTGTTTACAAGAGTCACATTTTCGATGGGATGGTCCTCGTCTAAAGGTTATACTCACGCTCTGATCTCTTTCTCTCTTTGAACTTTAACGCTTTTATGCTCCATATTGAATTATGAAGAGGGTTAATGGATTTTTATTCTCAGACTTGATTCCAAACTGATGATGTCCTAGCATATATAGTTACTTGTGGAGGTTTATGCCATGGGTTAAACACAGTGATTACGGAATTAGTGTACGGTTTGAACCATGTGTATGGTATGAACGATGTTCTCGGGATAGAGGTCAGCAACTGTTAAGATTTGGGTCTTTTAGTGAATATATACATATATTCTCTCTAGAAGTTTTTCTCAATGTGCTAATAGTTTAACATATGGGCTCTCACCAGAGATTTAAAGGTTTTTACTCTAGCAATGTTGTCCCTTGGACACAAAAAGTAGTTAATGAGATTCATAAACGTGGTGGTGCACTTCTCAAGACATCAAGAGAGGGCTATGTGACATAAAAAAAGTTGACAGCATTCAAGACCGCAACATAAATCATGTATTTACATTTCTTTGTTAGATGTTACAATATAGCACTTTGTTTGTCGAGGTTTACGATGAGCGTGAAGGTATTGTTTGAATATCATTCCACAGTGGATCTGTGAGTATTCTATATCTTCTGAGTCAAATTTCTTACTAATTTGGTAAAACAAGCTTGTTTATTCGTCAGTCCACTGACATCACATTATGTGATGTAAACACCAAGCTTATTTTTGCTAGACTCCAATAAAATGTTTGTCTTTGTTTTATATGCTTTGAGGCTATGGAGGGAAGTTCAAGTTTTCAGTTAAATGAGTTTTTTACAGTTAAATGAGATATAACGGTGTGTGTTTTTCTACTAATTCATTGTTCAAAGCTTACCTAGCATAAAAGAATGTAAGTTGATATTGTATATTTTTCTGATACTCATGTGATGTTATGATATATCAAATCTTACTTTTCTATTTTAGTGTATGTTTAATTAAATGGTTCTCATTTTATAATCTACATCATTATCTAGAATGTTTATTTTCATTTTCTTGGAAAACCTCAAGGTTGAACCTATGGGGCTATTGGCTGATATGGATAACCAAATTATAGGAGCTAAAGAAGAGGCCCTGAGCAGAAAAGAATATTGGATAAGGTTGCAAAATGGGTGTTTGTTTGCGAAGAAGAGGGCTGGCTTGAGGACTATAATCGGGTAATTTTACTCCTTCCTCATTGTTTATGCATAATAAACACCCAATTGAACTATTTAAACTGTAAACAATTGATTTTCCATTTTGTTTTTCTGATTTTCGAAATAGATGTATACTTTCTAGGTCAAAACAGATTTAGTCTGTATGTAGAATGGCTTCTTTTCTTGGAAAACATTCCGAAACAGATGTATGCTTGCCATTTCATCTTGTGTTATAGAGGACGTACCAAAACGCAGCAACACATACGAGATCAGTAGCGCTGCATGCTATGACGGTTCTAGCTCTTCTTGAACTCGCACCCGTGTGATGTTTTGTCTAATCTTCCTACTGCTATAACATTTTGTTGCATCTTGCTGGCCCAAACATTTCAACTAAACTTTTTATTCCCCTTGTTACTATAATGGACATCATTAGCTCTGTTTTACCACCTACCTTTCGTAATGTGTTTGCATATGTTCTTGTGTACTTCAAATTTCCTGCTTTTTCCAAAGCTTGGGCAGCAACCGTCGCGCAACACGCACGCCAGGTTAGTATATTTATGAAATGCTAATGTTTTGTTTGGTACTAATTTTAGGCAAGTGGAAGAATCGAAGGCAAGTAATGCCACACCCGCCCACACCTATGATTCTATGATATGAGGAAGACCAGACATTCAACGGTGTAGACGACGACAAGCAGACCTCCAAAACTAGCTTCTTGTCCTCCATTATACTAGCTTAAAGGGCAAACTAACGTCACTGTTTTAAGGTCACGATCTTTTAAGCAAGACTTGTATTAGTGCCTTTTAATTTACAAAGCAAAAAAGTGCCATAGTGCCACTTAGCTGATCATCAGCCATGAAAGTGTAACAAATGGTGGTGCATTTCATTAGGGCATTCACTCATATGTCATTAACACAGCAATGAAACAAAATTTACATGGCGTTGCACAGACCCTATAAGGCTAATGAATCTACACAATCAATGAATGGAGATCAAATATTGAAAGAAAAAACATCAGCTATAGAACACCTATCACATGCTCAGAAACTCATCTAAGAAATGATAAAACAAGTCTTGTCAAAAAAGATGTGGATGTAAGAGAAGGGGTGAGGGCCGGGTGATGTCAATTAACCTTTGTACTCCTGTCTTTGCAAAGCATAAGCCATTCTTGAATCACGGCTGTTTGAAGTGCACGGTGTTCAACCTCCTCTGCTGTCAGTTTAAACAGAGTTGTTGGCCCCTTATGTTTACCATCTTTCTCCACATTCTCATCCTTTTCCTTGCCATCATCGTTGTCATCTTCATCCTCTTCTTCTTCTTCTTCTTCATCTTCAGCAGTCTTTCGAGGTCTTGCTGCTTTTAGGAGAGCTATCCGTTCCATTGAGATCTTAAGCTTATCAGCAGCAGCCACCTTCACTTCATCTTCAGGCATATACTCAACACCACCGTCGGTCAGGTCATCTAACCAGCCCTGCGGATCTGAATCGATCTCTTTAGTAATAGAAGCATCTGATGCCCTAATCACAAATTTGCACATCATGGTCGTTGTCTCATCCCCAAGGTCAACATTTCTGCTCACCTCACTAGCGCCAAATACCATCATACCCACAAAGCCTCCATACCATGTTTTGGCAGCAAAACAGAGCTGCCCAAGTCCAAGAAAATAGATATATAAAAAAAGAAAAAATGCAAAGAGAACACTTCGAGAAAACAGCAAAAATGTTTTAAAAAACAGCATCAACACTTTTAAAAAAACAAATGCACAAATGTGTAAGTGCAAAGTAACCAAAAATTGTACTCAGAATTTGAGAAACATTGGAAAAAAACAAACTGGCTAAAATGCTTATTATATGTCGGGTCGTCTAAACCCATGTGAGAGGGCCAAAGTATATGCAATTTATGTTGACATAATTGAATTGTCAGTATTTGTTTAGGGGAAAACAAACACATGACAGTAGGGGGGGAATGGCAGCTGTGTCAGATAAAACCAGCTCAAGTCCTTGATCTCATTGGAGTATTTAGATAAGATAGTGTATTTAAAAGGTGACAGATAGAATTGCATGATTTGGATAGTTCAAACCATTGGGCCTAATTTTAAAAGCAATGACCTATTAAAATCCATCAATTGCAAACAGCCAGTAAAAGTTAATCTGAAAAGGCAATGTCAGCTTATAAATCAAAGAGAGCACTAATTAGAACATTAATTAACCTGAAATCCAGCAACTGTTCGAATGATGTGCGAGCAAACTTGATGGAATGGTTTGGAAGACAAAGATTTTAAGCCGCTTAAAAATGGAGACGCTCCATATTGCTGTGCAGCAGTAGCCTTGAATCCACTTCCTTCATATGTATAAGCACCAGTATACTCCACTATAGCAGGTAAACTTGGCCACAAGCGGAAATACTCAACTGGTGAAATTTTATGTGGCAAAAGAAACTCAGTTAGGGGAATCTTGTACGGTTGGCATCTCAGAATCACAGGTTCCCCTAATTCTTTCAGGCTCCTCTTCTGCTTAATTATCTGAGGATCCTCTCCCGAGTATTCCCCTTCATAATCTGCAGGAGCATCTGTACCATAGAAGGGATAGTATAGTACTTGAACCCAAAGATCACATCTCTTGAAATGGGAAACACCCACTGTTACACTACACAGCACCGGTTCCTATAAACATGCACAACATGCCATGAAGTTAGTTTATGATGCTCAAGGTTCTTTCCATCATTTGCAATGGAGCCAAAGACTCACTATTTTTTGCTTAGGAATATGATGAAATAAAGCAAAATGTCTCACTAAACTGTTTGCGCTTCTTTTTATGAAGCAGCAGTCAGTCCATGCAATTTTCAACGCAATTTTCACTATGGGTCATCCGGAAACAGTCTCTTTGTGCTTTAGTACAGGGGTAAGATTGCGTACATCCGACCCCTCTTACCCCACCGAAGGTGGGAGCCTTTGCGTACTGGGGTGATGATGATGATGATGATGATGCTCAAGGTTGCTTCAATAATTGATAGTGTAAGCCTTTGTTTGGCTCACAAGCGGGAGGGTAGGGAATAAGAAATGGAAGAGAGAAGTGGGGCAGGAAGAAAGCAGTTATGTTTGGTTGGTTCATTGGGATAGTCATGGGGATTAAATTATTTTAGAAAAAACATATATACTAAAATTAAATTTGATATAATTCAACTGTAATTGAAAATATATTAGTAATTTATTAAGAAATTGCTCAATATAGGAGTAAAACAAAGGCAAAGTTCAAAAATAGGACTAAGTATGTTATCTTACTGAAATAGGACTTATTTAGACCTATTAAAAGAATAAAAAAGTAGAATTCATTTAAGTGCTCGAGTCCTATTTCTGAAAGAAAACAATGGTACTGCTATTTGAGAAAAGTTCCTATGTTTTACTCCTGCGTAGGGAATTTTCTTTAATTTATACTCCCTCCATTTTTATTAGTTGTTAAAAAAGTGGAAGTTAGACGATTAAATTTAAAAAAAAAGGTAGAAGTGAGAAAATGAATTTATGTCATTTGAAAAGATCATGTTTACCAAAGAGAGAGAGTGGAGAAATTAATAAAACACGGAATACGTATAAAATAAATTGCTCCAAATAGGACTAAAACATAGCTATAGTGCACAAATAGGAGAGACTATGTATATCAATAATAATGTACAACAATTTTAGTAAAAAGGGATGAAAAATAAATTTGAAAAAAAAACATCTCCGTAATATCTCAAATTGGAGGGGTGAGATGTGAGTTTGGGAGGAGTTTATAGCTCCTCCGCTTTACTCCACTTCCCACCTAATTCCCCCAAACAAAAACACCACACTCCTCCACTTTCCTCACCTTCCGTCCAAATCCCTCTAACCAAAAAAGAATTACAAAATCAGATCCATCAGATTCTACAGTTAAATGAACATAGAAAACATATATAAACTCAAAAAATAATAAGGAGTAGAGTGTTTGCTACACAGCCTTGGCAGTTTCTAAGACATAAAATTAATGCTAAACAAAAAACCATATAGTGAGATTGATTTGATTTAGATAACAAGATTAGCAGCCTTTTCCGCTTCAGATATAAGGATGTGTCCTGAACATGAAGCACCAAATAATTACGAGGGAACTGAGAAGGACTATGAAATCAAGATCGGACCTGAGAATTAAGGTCACGCAGCTGCCGCACTGCTTGAGGAGATCCATCCATGAAATACAATCCACCCGAGAGACCAACGCGCAAGTCCACCCGATTGAGTTCAATCTCCGTTAAATTCAGAACCTACAAAATTGTTCACATGGTTAGTGCGCTGAGAATCTTATCAAACCATTTGTAGTACACAACTGCCCCAAAAGGTTACAGTACAAAGTATCAGAGCTTTAAGGAGGACTAGTTCGTAAAGTGACTATCTTGCTTGAATTATTGCCAGCTAGAATCACCACAGACGTGGTGGTGATGAGCTTACGGCACACATACTAAAATGGTATCTCTAGTGATTTTCAGCAGCTTCAAAGGAACGTTAAAAAAATGCTATCATAAAGGGAGGAGCATTAAATGGCTTGAGATTATGATGGAATAAAGCAAATGGCTTGAGATTATGATGGAATAAAGCAAAATGGCTCACTAAACTGTCTGCGCTTCTTTGTTATAAAGCAGCAGTCAGTCCATGCAATTTTGGACGGGATTTTCACTGTGGGTCATCCGGAAACAGGCTCTCTGTGCTTTAGTACAGGGGTAAGACTGCGTACATCCGACCCCCCTTACCCCACTGTAGGTGGGAGCCTTTGTGGCACTGGGGTAAATGAAAATGAAAAATGATGAAAGGGAGGAGCATTAAAACAACAAGGACTCTCTATGTATCAGGATCAACAAACATGTGCGCACACTTGGGGAAGAAAATTTGCTAATTCTTCAACCTTCCTTCACTTTGTTGGCATTTGAATGGACCCTAACCCCAGACCCATTAAAAAACAAAAAAAAAGTAAATAAATGGGTGGGTGGGTGGGTGGATGGATAAGTAAGTAAATAAGTATGTAAATAAATAAATAAATAAATAAATAAATAAATAAATAAATAATTAAATAAATAAACGCAACACAACAGAAACCAAACATATACGGAGTAAAACATTACACAGAGAAACGTTATTTTTCTCATTTTCAGGAAAACACATGAATTAGATACTCGTCATGTCAAGCAAATGCTTAGATGTGGCTTGCAATGACAACAAAAACCATGCCCAGTATCAGTATGATCCTCCCACGATGATTGAAGTCATTGAACACCAAACTATATTCATCAATATTACCATGAAGTCAAGAACAATATGTTTTTACCTTTAGATGAAGAGTGATCCTTCCATCACTTGGATCAGTCAAATGATATGCTTCAACATAGCAAGGATCACTGCTTCCCGTCAAAGTATGCGTACTTGGAGGGACTTTGAGTAGACTAGAATCAATTCCTTTAGCTAACAACATAGCCAACTCGTTAGGTTCAGGCCTCCAAAGTTCCAAAATAGCCTTGTGAACTAATCCTTCAAGCTTTCTGTCCTGTGCTGCTGATGCATCATGAAACTGAACAGTCAACTTATGGTGACTAAATGGATAATCTCCTCTTGCTTCACT